CGCACCCTTTTATCTTTGGCTGCGTGTTCCCTTTCGGATTGAAGCAGTGATCAAGATTGTAACGTTTAGGGTTTTCTTTTCCCTTATGTTTTAATCTTGATCGAATCTTCGGACGCGTTGCCGTTTTCTGCTTCAAGCCACCTAAGGGTCATGCGTGAGGGTTTTCCTTCACTTTTTGCGCCCACCCTCCCACCCTTTCAACACTCAGGGGATATTCCTATGCCACTGCAATTACGTTGGCCACTAGGTTCAACTTCTTGCCGTGGGCTGCGCCACACACCAGCGGAGGCACGCAGTGCTACCGCCAGGACCCAGCCGCAGCTGGGCCCAAAAGGTCTCAGTCCAGAATCGTGTGCCGCATTGCGCACCAGCTCGATGCACTCGCCGTGTGCTTCACTGCGCACCGTCCAGATGCATGCGTTGCACGACGCAGCCATCAATGCCTTCGATTGTTTCACGCCTCACAGGTAACACACCTGGCGCCTGGTCGAACACGCATTGTCGACCACGGGGGCATATGAGGAGGCTCCGCAGAGGGGTGCAGACACGGGGAAAGGACACGCGCTGCACCCAAGCCTCAACTTCCAAGCAACGCCTTATAAAGAAAAAGAGCGTGCGCGCATGTTTGTCGGTCGCACCCTTTTATCTTTGGCTGCATGTTCCCTTTCGGATTGAAGCAGTGATCAAGATTCTAACCTTCAAGTTCCTTTGGTCCAACTATCTTGATGATTATGCTGTTTTCTCAAATGCCGTTTTGCAAAAGGCCTGCGAGACCACCGTCAATGCATTCTTCCACATTTTGGGAACCCAGACTAGCAAGTCCGACGAGAAATGTCTCTCGTTCGCCGAGGTCTTTGACTGCTTGGGTATTACTTTCCTCTTGCGCAGGACCCCTGACGAACTGTTCGTTCGGAACACTTCCAAATGCTGTACGGAATTGTGCAAAATGATCGCCGACATTCTTTCCTCAGATTCGCTTTCCTTTAAAGAAAGTCAATCGCTGCGTTCAAGACTCTTTTTTGCAGAACAACACCTTTTTGGAAGAATAGGGATGGCGACTCTCAAATCTTTGCTCGTGTATGAAAGCGTGAACCTGTTGCGACCCACCAACACCTCCGCAACATGTTGTCTGCCATGCGCCAGCCACGCCCCGTGCCCATATTGCTCAGGAAGACCTGGCACTCTTCCTCGTTAGCTTCGGCATCACCATGACGACATGGGTCTGGCCCAACGTCTACTGGTACTTCCTCAGCTACGGGAGGCGGGCGCGCCGGACCGGCTTTTTGGGGTGGTCCGAAGTCGAACGCTCCATGATGATGTTCGCCCTCAACCTCTGCAGATTCACCGGCAGCGGCGGGTATGACATCATTGTCACCATCATCATCTTGATCTGCCTCATCGTTCGTGACCAATGCCAATACTTCCGAAAAGTGCTCCTTGAGGTCATCGGTTGTAGGGCGATGCCTGTTACTCCGAAGCTTACCATCGCTCACGAGGTACGGGATGTCGTCCTTGACTTGTATGTGTACGAATCCCTGCTTTGGTGTAACCATGAAAGGTAGCTTACCAGGCATCCAGTGAAAAGCATATCCCATCTTCATGCATCTTCTCCCTATCGACAATACCGTGGGTGTCTCATCCAACACATGCGGCTCGACAGTCTCGTCCAACTCGTCCACGACTATCTTGGCCACGTCAGATGTGGATGTGGAACCATTTGCGGTCTGGAACACAATCTCATCATCATCTTTCACAATATCGACACCCATGGGGCACAGGAGGACAGCGCTTCCATTGGTGGCATCCTCGCTGATTCCAAGGGGTCGCCGCAATCTTTCTTTGGCGCCGTGCTCCCATGTTCTTCACTGTGAATTGCTCCCGGTATTGTTTGCCCTTCTAGCTTGGGAATCCACCTTGAAAGACTGCAATGTATTTTTCCACGTGGATTCTGAAGCTGCGCGACATTGCCTTATCAAGGCTACATGCGCCCAAAAGCAGGCGCAAGAAATCATGAATGCTTTTATGATATTTGAATCGCGAACCGCAATTACGCCTTGGTTTTCCAGATTGTGCAGCGAGTCCAAGTCCAACCCTGCCGATGCCCCGAGCAGACTGGACTTTTCAACCAGTTCTTCCCAGCGTCCGCAAGTTGTCGTTTCAGATGATGCTCTTTCAGAACTTTTGCGCGCGGTTCACTCCACTGAACCCCTGGCCTCCTAGTGATGATACCTTCGGCCCCGGGGTTCCTTTACCAATGGGGATACACAACCCCTGGTCCTCGTTACCTTCCGCTCGTTTCACTTGCCCCCTTTTGTTCTTCATATAAAGCATGGGTCCCCTGCTGTGGACCCCCCATTTATATCTTTTACATCCAACTATTTTTGGGACTTTCATGTGACTCCTGTTCAGAGGGCTTCGGAAGGACAGTGTCGATTAGAGGACAACTCCCCGTGCTTTTGGTAGGTCAGCGCGAAAAAGGAGCTTCGAGCGACGACCTTGATACGCAACACTTCCACGTTGCCCATGAGACATATTTGTCTAGGATTTGACCCGGTTCCGAAACCATGTGCTCGGATCCCCTTTTTTCTACTGGCAGTTGTAGCTCTTAGGAAACAATTACAGATTCTTCATAAGTGTGGCTCGAGAACGAACGAACCACAAAAAAGGAAATTAAGGTATGCTTCTGGCAAGACGCTCCTTTAATTTCGCTTGACGTTGAATCGCTTGTTTGTGATTAGTTTGGGCTCGAGCACACTCGGCATTACTTGAGAAGCACTCACAACATGTGCTTCCCCTTCATGTGTAACAGACATTTTAATTTTTGACCCACCCATCCCGCCCTTTTTCGGCAGCTTCCAGCTCCTGTCTTTCAGGGTTCGGTCTGATGCCCGACACAGGTCGCCCGGCATGATTGTCACCGGGCTCTTTTTCAATAAATTCGGGCTCCTGTCTTGAGCAGAGCTCCTGCGTAACGGGCGACTTTGGCGATGTGCCCATTTTCCACGTCATGTCCGTTGCAGTTCGACATTTCTGCCTGTGAGGTACATCGTGAGACCTCCCGTTCTCACCTTTGCAGAATCAGATGCATCGGGGACCTCCATGCGGAATTACCGAAAAGGGGAATATACAACCCCTGGTCCTCGTTACCTTCCGCTCGTTTCACTTGCCCCCTTTTGTTCTTCATATAAAGCATGGGTCCCCTGCTGTGGACCCCCATTTATACCTTTTACACCCAACTATTTTTGGGACTTTCATGTGACTCCTGTTCAGAGGGCTTCGGAAGGACAGTGTCTCCCTGTCGGATTAGAGGACAACTCCCCGTGCTTTTGGTAGGTCAGCGCGAAAAAGGAGCTTCGAGCGACGACCTTGATACGCAACACTTCCACGTTGCCCATGAGACATATTTGTCTAGGATTTGACCCGGTTCCGAAACCATGTGCTCGGATCCCCTTTTTTCTACTGGCAGTTGTAGCTCTTAGGAAACAATTACAGATTCTTCATAAGTGTGGCTCGAGAACGAACGAATCACAAAAAGGGAAATTAATTCCCAATATGAAAACAGCTCACGCGGAATAGGAATGAGAGAGTGGATGGGTTGGTGAGATCTCTTTCTCCCATCCACCAACCCCTTCCCTCCTTTTTTTCGTGTTTGTAAGCCTTCAACTGTTGAATGTGTTGGTGGTGTTGTGATGAGTATTTTTATTTGCTGTCTCCCTCCAGTTGTGGAAGCCATGGCTTCAACATGAGGGACATTTAGAATTTCATATTCGCAATCGTCAGCTGATGTTTCGTATGATGAGATTGCCTCTCATCAGTGCAAATCAGCAGAGTCCATGTGGCAGACGTCATTTGTCACCGCACGACTCAACTTGTGTTGTCACGATTGTGGCCAGTGATTTGGTTCCACGTTTTTCTTGTGCCGGCGGCCACATGTCCTGAAATGACTTGCTTCACTGGATGCATTGTTTGCCTCACACACATGAGTTTGGGAATCGACTCTGCATCTTGCTGCCGTAGCTTCAATACGGGAGGTATTAGCATGTACAGAATTGAAGAACTATGGTTCGGCGCAAATCCAGACACTTGGGATGACAAATCAACATGATGGATGTTATATACAAGTTTTTGTGCTTTCTGGGATGCTCAAAGCAGCCCAAAGCAAAGCTTGACCGCAGAACCAACAATGCTACGCAGCGTGCAACAAGTTGCAAATCTTTGTGCAACGCCAAGTGGCATGGACAGCCTTGCTGATGACACACCAGAAATGTGGCAGACTCAGCTTGAGTAGTTGTGTGAATTTCGTCTTTCAATTTTGTACCGTCGTACTTTAGCCATCCTTTTGTTCTTTTGCGATCAACAAATTTGCGCGCAACGAACTGCCTTGGCAGAACATCGCATGCACGGCTTTGGGGATAGATTGCATGGCTACACAAAGGCATGATGAAATCTTGTTGAGGCAGTGACAGATGTTTTCCCGCTTGGCTAGACACTGCAGTTTCAATATTTGCTGGACAACTGCTTGCCGTAAAAATGGGATGCCAGTCGGCCGTGTTTTCTGCTTTCAGGTCGCCGCCGAAGCGGCCTCGTGTGGATGGCCAGGCAGTTCTACATGTGTCGCGCAGTCAGGGCTGCAAACGTGGTAGTGTAGTGTGGCTTAGAGATTGCCACTTGTGGGTCGGACAACATGCTGAGGAGGCATGCGGGGAAACAAAGATCGCATTGATCCGATGCAGGACGCGGTGGAGGCTGGGGATGAGGACTCTGCAGCTCAGCATCATGTCGAGAAAACAACAATTGCAACGACCATGTAGGAAGCAGGTTCATTTTTTCAGTTGACCCAGGCGAACGTTGCGATGGGCTTCTGCCACTTTTGGGGTCCTGCTGACATGCTAGGAGCGTGCCTTCGTTGAGAAAAGTCCCAGAATCCGCATTGCTGCCAGCTCCTCAGAGCCTTCGTTCCTTGCTTTCGACGCGTTTCCAGTTCTGACGCAAATCGGTCAGGAAGATTTGGACGATGACGACATAGATGAGGAGCCCGAGGGAGCACCAATGACCATAAACCTCAAGCCAAGAACATCAGACAGTTTTTGACATATATATATATATAAGGACATTTCAACATCGCCTTGCCAAATCGCAGCTTTCGTTAAAGATGATCCCGAAGGACCTGACTCGCGATGTTCGTCCTGGCCTCAAAACGCCTTTCATAGAACCTGCTCACCAGCTTGCTTTGCTAGGCATTCGGCTATCACCTTTGGGGTTGATATGGAGCCGTATATTTTCCCGCCAAATCACATGGAACCTGACCTTCTGGGGGTCCTGGAAGACCATTTTCCTTTCGAAGGGACGTCCCCAACGTCAGGTTCCACGTTAATTGATGGGAGGGTACACCAGCTGATGCCGAGGCCGCCGCACAGAGCCCAGGGTGCGTCCCCCAGATTTCGCTGCCGCCTTAAGGCTTAGACGCTTAATCATAGTTTTTTTTTTTTTTTTTTTGTGATCATTCTGGCATCAGCATCGAGCTGTCACTTAGGCAGGCTCGCATTATGCATATATATATATATACCTATATATTTTAATGCCTCCAGCTCAGACTGCAGCATTACAGGCCAGTTCCCCCCCCCAACATCTATTCCCCTTTCTTCCCCGAAGATTCCCCTCTTTTCTGCCCCAAGATCTCTTCCCACCTTTCCCCCCCTAAGATCTTTTCCCCTCTTTTCCTTTAAGATCTTTGACCCTTTGTGCCCGGTTTTTTCAGGAGGGGGGGGAAGGTGTTAGGGGGGAGAGGAACAAAAATCTTAGGGGGACAGATAATAGGTGGGAAAGGGGGGAAAGGATCTCAGGGAGGGGAACGGGGAAAAGATGTTCAGACTTTAAGCTATGGGGATTTCAACACGTTAAGCCACTCAGATCTTCAGATTTCAAGCCCTTAAGCTTTCATTTCCCTTCACTCATTTCCACTCAGTTCCACTCAGTTCCCTTCGGTTCCCTTCATTTCCCCTCACTTTCCTTCACTTCCCTTCCTGTCCCCTTATTTCTCTTCAATTAGGTCCTTTTATTTGACTGCATGTCCTTTTTTTTCCCCACATTTCCTTTCACCAGCATGGGCAACATCCCCCTTCAACACCTGCATTATCCGCATCAATGTTTGCCAACAATGAAGATGATGCAGGTGATGTTGCTTCAGAAGTTCGAATCGAACCCCAAACGCTTTTGTCCAACATGCCGTCTGTTGCTGGCGGACACACACACACATATATATATATATATGCTGTGTTGAAGGCAAGACTGTATGTTGCGGTTGTAGCCTTTGCTTCCATTTTCAGGATGCCCGGATTGCCGTGTCCGAGGCGCGCTGCCACATTTTGGGGCACATGATAACATTTGCCAACTTTTGGCAGCGCCGGCAGTCTGAGCATTTAGACTCAATATCTCCGGTTCCAAGAATGGTGGGGGCAGCGTGTCATGCACAAAGCTAAAGGGGATGAAGTGCCTACCAGCCCAGGCAGTCATGTTTTGTCACGCCATAGCTACGGTCTGGAGCATGAAGTTGAAGCGGGCCGTTGCATCACGTGGCCAGTCCATCTGCCGGAAGGAGAAGAGCGAGGGGAGATTCGTTGTGTAAAGCCACAGCTTTGGACCCGAGCATTGCCATCAATCTTGAACTGCATGCACATGGCAATCCAGCAATCACGTGGCGTCGCACTGTCAGATCCTGCCGCATGCACTCGGCGTGGGGATCAATCACAAACGGTTCCACCTAAATCTAGCTTAGCTTGCCCACGCCAAGCAACAGTTGAAAGATGGCTTTGGCTGGTGGCCGTGGCTCCGCAGAGATTCATTTCAACGTCTTTTTTTTTCATCACAAGGCGCGGCGGCAACACGATTGCTTTGCTCGATGCAAGCAAGTGCAGGAGAACCTGCGGCCACCAATGGAGCACGAGATTGAGCTTTCTGGCAGCACATGGGTGAACCTAGGGCTCTAAAGCTTCAGTAAAATCAATCCGACACATTTTTGATTTTTGAGTTTGGAATACAAGATCGTGCTTCGCTGCTGGAAGCTGGTTTGTTTGTTTGGCTTCTTGGCCTGTTTGGCTGCTCAGATTTGCTGGCTAAGTGTTTTTTGCCGCTGGATGGCTGGTGGAGGAATTGGCTGACAGGTAGTAAAAAACAACTGCTGTCGATGATGTCATGACTGCTACCATGCAATGGCATTGCGTTGACCTACGTGCATGGCCTGCAGGTTCTTGCTGAAGGACCCAAAGAGTTACAAGACGGGCCAATCTGTCATCGACTCAGTGCGAGTGTTCTTTGTTGACCTGGTGACTTGCTGCAAGCGCTGAAGCGGCTGGGTAGCTGTCGTGAGGTCCACTCTGAAGCAAGAACGCTTCATGGTTCCTTCACGTTTCGTCTCTTGGTGCTGGCCTTGGCCGAAGGTGTGACCTGCCTGACCCAGGCGAGACGTTGTTGCCAGTGAACTCAACTTCGTTGACGGCAACA